GTCTTACAGATGGGCAGTTGGCATAGTTCTATTCATTATTTATTAACTGGTAGAGTTTTACGACTTAACACATGTAATCTATAGAAAGCCAATAAATCCCACTGTCAAATTTCATAAAATTTGTTTAGAAAATAGTGAAACCTATTCAGCCATACTAGGTAGGAGGTAAATATGTATTCAGAGGACAGATGATTCAATATCTTAAAAACTAGTTACTATCCTTCTCCCTACTGAGAAAAAAACCAAGGAAACTCACAGTATCTTCTAGTTCTTTATTCAGTTATTCTTTGGGAATCTTGTAACGCAAGGCTAATGTTGCAGATAGAATTCCCTGTTTTCTTTGTTGTTTGTCATACTGCATATGTTCAAATCTGGCCCCAGCAGTCACAATCTGAGCAGCTAGGGCATGCCCAGTCTCCTGGCTCAATAGGTACAGTAGCTGAGATAATTTCCAGTCTCACATCTAAAACTGCTTTCTTTACTTGCCGGGAAAGAGTATCACGTGACAACTTAATTGAATGGAATTAATTGCTTTGTCTTAAGTCTTGTTTCTGTTTTCATTATCATTTTTTTCTGAGACAGAGTTTCTATATAGCTCTGACTGTCCTTGAACTCACTAAGCAGACCAGGCTGGCCTCACACTCACAGAGATCACCTGCATCTGCCTCAGAAGGACTGGGATTAAAGGCTTGGCACCACCATGCCCAGCTCCTTCTCATTTTTAACACGTGGCATTCCTGGAAGGCTGGGAGCATATTTGTGTTGTGCCCTCTGTTTGACAGCATGTCATGAGTTCCCCAACCTAGACTTCCAAAGACATTGTTCAGAGAACCTCAAACTCAAAGGAAGAGAAACAACCTAAATGAAAATTTCCCGTCAACTTTGAAACAAGATTTTCTTTAAAGCTTCCCCCAAATGATGTGTTAGTGTTTCTGTAGCTAATTTCCAAACTATGTTATCAGTTAACCTTCCTGATATAACACAGTGTGAATGCCCAGTGTGGCCAGTGAAACAAGAGAAGATATAACCTCCCCTTGTGCTTCGGATGCTGCCTTACAGTACTACAACCCTTTAGCGGAGTTTTGTTTAGTTATTACAACTATCTCTATGTAAATGACATTTGGGATTATTTAAGATTATGTTGTAATCCTTTTAATCCTTGGTGCATTAAGTTTCAGGATAACCACAAAAGAGAAAACCAGCACTTAGCAGAAATGTTTAAAACATGTGATTTACGCATAAATCTTTTTGCCCAGGCTCTCCCCGATGAAGACCTGGCATTGCTTTTAGTTAACCAAGAAAACTTGCCTAAAGTTCATCCCAAATTACTCACTGACAAAATACCTTCTCAAGTTACATCAAAATTGTGATAATTCATGATTACCCTTTCTGCAGGATTAAACAACCATTTGAGCAGTGGACCTACAGCAATTTTGTTTAGAATTTGTATGTCCCTTTCATAAGTGCAAAGCTTTGTGTGTGTGTATGTGTGTGTGTGTGTGTAACTCCCAAGATCAAGAAATCCTATATAAATGTACACATGATGATGTCTTTAAAAATGTATTTATAGAATTGTTTGACACCTCTGATTACATGTCATAGACAGAGACTTTTTAAAGACAGACAACACTTTTTTTTAAAAACGTTACTTGCTCTTGAACAATCCTATCAGACAAAAGGGGCCCAAAGATTCCAGTTCCAAAACAGGCAGAGACTCCTCATTACAGAAAGTGAATACCATTTTGATTTACCAAGAGTTATTATATACTAAATTTATACTATATACTAAATTATATACTATAATTTTATCACTGTGATATTAGCATGTACTATTAGAAGAAGACTGAACCCACATTGAGTTTGATGGAAATTTAACTGTAAATAAAACTTGGATTTTGTTAAATGCAGAAAGTGAACAAATCAGATGTCTAGAAAGTATAAACAGTGTATGAAAATATTCCATCTTTCTGTATCAAAAATGTGTGCTTCCAGCATATCTCAGGCACTCACAATTTTTTTGTTTGTTTTCCTCTTCATTTCAAGTTTGACTTCTCTGCAGACATGGTAATTATGTGGTATATAATTGCCAATCCGTCAACTTTTTAAAGACAGATTTCAAATTTTAAATTATTTCTAATTTTGCTCTTCTTTGATTCTTCGGGAACTAAAAATCTCAATAGTCATTTGCTGTCTGTAATCTATAATTCATAGGCTGAGATTGAATATCAAGCCTAATTCAAACTTGGAATCCTAAAACTATTTTTGATGTGGTACCTCAGCTAAAGTTAGAAGGGTCTTTTTCAGTCGGGAAGAAACGTTTCATTATTCAGTAGGTAAGGAAACCCTTCTGCACTCTCAAACACCCACCCATGCCTTAATACTGTGTTTTGAGATGTAATCATGTTTATTCTGATCACTTGAGAGTTAGCCCAGCTAATGTATCTAATCAAATATTGATGCACAACATCATCTGGACTTAGTCGTCTGCAAATTATTCCCAATGTTTCTTTTTGCTAACAGAACTATAAAAGCAATTCACATTATTCTACTCAAACGACTGACAGTTTTGATCTCCTTGATGGGTGCATATTAGAAAATTTTAACCTAAGCTTGTGGAAACCAAGATGGTCTATCCAACATGAATGAACAGAAACTCATACCAGAATTTTCTGTAACTTTTGTGTTCACAATATCTTTATAGCCTTTTATTTCTACATTCAAACCTAGCAAGAGTTTATCCACATATCCTCTATCAATCTATCTATCTATCTATCTATCTATCTATCTATCTATTATCTATCTATCTATCTATCTATCTATCATCATCATCTATATATGAATCATGCTATCTATTTGTGCATGTACCCATCTTTCAATCATCTGTGTAAATATTGAAGGCTCAAGGCCTCATGAATTGTTCATTTATATCAAAAACAAAGATAGATGACAAAATTTTTCAAGCCACTAAATTTGCAAAAGGTGAAATAGACTTCAATGTCTTTGGAAGAAGCTGCATTCAGAAGTATATATAAAATTCAAATGGAAATTATAAAAGAATGAACATTAGCAATAGTTCAAAAGCTAGGGATGATATATACCATCATTTGTGCACCACAGAGTTGACAGTAGCCTCATTTTTGATCTAATTGAAAATTTACAGAGATAAATGCAGAAAGACTGGCCTCAGAGATCTAAAAAAAATGATCCATTTTACAAACATCATGTTCTTAAAATTGAGCACGATATCTTTCTTTTACAACTTTCTTAATTGGAGTACCCACAATGCATGTGGACATACAACATTTAGCTTATCTAATCATGCCCTAGATCAGTGGTTCTCTACCTTCCTAACGCCGCAACTCTTTAATACAGTTCATTAAGTTGTGGCAGCCTCCAACCATAAAATTATTTTCATTGTTGCTTCAAAACTGTACTTTGCCACTGTTATGAATCGTAATGTAAATATTTTTTTGGAGCTAGAGGTTTTCCAAGGGGTCACGACCCTCAGGATGAGAGCCACTGTCTTAGATTGTCAGTGACTTGAATTATGACCCTTATGTTTTATTCTTGGTGTTGGAATAACACCAAGAGACAGAAATAAGAGGAGGGGGTTATTTTTTTTTTACTGATTCTTACCTTCTCATTCTCAAACAAAGTTCATCTTATTATTTATACCTTGGTTCTCTAAATTCTCTGCCGTTTGGTTTGAGATCACTCTCCCTACGTGTGCCTTCCTGCCTCCTTCCTTCCTTCCTTCCTCCTTCTTGTTTAAAATTGTATTTTTAGTTGACAGATGATAATTATATCTATCCTTTCACTTAATTTTTGGTTAAAAACATCTCTATATTTAAGTAGAGCAAAACTAGAAACGGAAAGATAATTTATTCTAGGACATGCATAGCTTTTTTTTCTTTTTAAATCTGAATAGGTCTGAATTATTTTACTCTATCTGAATAAGTTCCGGGAGGAAGTAACCCATACTGGATACACTGGAAGTGAGCTATTTCCCCTCATATGGGTAGAAGTGGGAAAGGCCACCACATATGCTACTGCAAGATCCTTATAGTGATTTCATCAATGTATTTTATTACATAATAACTTACTTTTAGTTAAAAAGTAGAACTACTTCAGAAAATATTTAATATCAATAAATAAGTATTAATCCACTCCCTTCACTCCTAAATGGGATAATTCTAAAATATAACAAAATGAAAAATGTAAATGTTGTATATAACTTAAAATGGAAAAAACATATCGAATTTATAATCTGAAATAATTATAATCTGAAGTAATTTCACAAGTGAGATACCAAAGTTTATGGTTTCTATTCATTTAAGGATTTTGTGGTTTATTTTACACTCAGTGGACTGTGATTCTGCCTGTTAATCAATCATAGTAATTTTCTTTCCAAAGTGAAAATAGTCAATATAAAAGGTTTAAAATTTATTATTAATTAAATTTGTGCTTGGACAACTTCGTCCATGTATAGAATGCATTCTGATTTCTCTCCCTCCTCCCTTTCGCATGTCCTTGCCTTCCCCAACAGGCTGCTCTGTTCTCCCCTGCTCCTCACTTCCGCTGGTAAATGTTCTTAATGACTGGAAGGCAGGGAGGGCACCAAATGAGAATAGCTTATAATTAGGGAATCGTAATTTGTGTACGTTTGAACGTGCCGCGTCACATCTATTTAAGCAAAGTGTTCTAGGTTAGCACCCCAAACAGCTCTCAAATACATTGCAAAGTTCAATGATGTTGCTGTATAATAAGCGGCAGAGAGCATCTATTTTGTGTCTAGATAGTAACCAGGCATCAGGGGGAAACACAAAATAAACCCACGGTTCCCCAAGGAAGAGGAGTCAGAGTCAGTCTTTCATAATGACCTTCAGACGAGTAGCTCACGCACACGGAAACATCATAGGAAGGTAATCTCATTCTGATTACCCGAGAGAGCTCCAGCTTAGAGGAAGCAGGAATAAATTGAGTACATGTGGCACTCCTACCTGAAAGACACTCTTCCTGCTTGATTTTTCCTTGGCCCATTCTATATGTGCACCACGCAAGTCCACGCATTCTGCTTTGTGCCTGGCTTTCTGTAAACAAAAATGAAAAGAAGAATAAAGATCAAAGGGCACTGAAGAAGCTTGTCAGAAAAAAAAAAAAAAGTTTACCGAGTTAGAGGTTGTGCATACGTACGCCACGAAGCCTCTCTTGTGTGCTTCCCAGAGGAGACCTAATCTGCGGGACTTTTACTTGGGATTTTATAACTTTAATACTCTAAAATTACAAGCATAGTTTTAAATACATTTCATTAGTTACACATAATAAAAAGGATCAATACTTCTATCAATGATTTGACATAATTTTAAAGAAATAGAAGCTTAAAGATCTGCTTTTCTGTTCTGTATAATATTGCTATTGTATTATATCATCTAGTCAGACATGGACAGGAACAAAAATTAAGTCATACACCTGTTAGACCTAAAAGTAAAAGAAAAATCACAATGTAAGAGGGAAAGGTCTAGTTTAGTTTTGTGACCTCAGCAAAGTTACTTAGAACATAGCTACATGATCTTGAAATTAGAGCAAACAGATTCAGCTTAATCTCAAACTCTCTTCTAATGTTTGTATTTAGTATGTTAACAAATTCAGAAAGTAGCATTGTCACCAATGTGCCTTTCACAAAGTCACATTTTAGTTGGACATGTGGCACATATGGTTAATCCCAGCACTCACAAGACAGAAGCAGGCTGACCTCTGTGAATCAAAGGCTTGCCTGGTCTGCATAGTGAGATACTGTCTTAACATAATAATAAGAAAGGAGAGAAAGAGAGGGTAGGAGGGGGAGGTAGGGAAGGAACGAAGAAAGGAAGGAAGAAAAGGAAGGAAGAGAAGGAAGGAAGGAAGAAAAGGAAGAAAGAGAAGGAAGGAAGAGAAGGAAGGAAGGAAGGAAGGAAGGAAGGAAGGAAGGAAGGAAGGAAGGAAGGAAAGAAGATCCACATTTAAAAGTTTAGGAGTACGTGTGTAAGTTTTATGTAATAAAGCTAATTTATTTAATAAATAAATCATAGTATTGGATTATTTTTATATGAAGTACATGATAAATGAAAGTAATTTTATTTCAGAAATTCCTAATAACCAGCTAATATGAATGTTAACTATAGTTGCCTAATAATTTCATTTGACACAGTGAATATCATCTACATAAGTTTAAATTCACACAACTTCAGCTGTTACACAAAGCTTATTTTTGGACATTCTTTACTGTTTTCCAAAGAGGTACTGTATAGAGATGTTTTGCAACAATTTTCATGTGCTTTAGGCTACTCTAGGTTTCTTTACAAAGAAATTCAATAATTTCCTCATCTTCTTTTTCTGCAGAACATCCTAAACATTTAGTATAGAAATGTTTTAGGCAACTTTCACAAACTTTAAGTCAAATCTTGAAATTAGAAATGTAAAAGTGTTGAAAAATAATTTTCTGTCCAAATTGTTGCCTTATAACCACTCTCTAATTTTATTGGATTTAAAAAAATCTAACAGGAGTTGGTAGAAAATTTTCTTTGTCTTTTCTTTTTTTTTTTACCCATGATAAAATAGGATATGTTTACCTTTCAGCAACCAAAGTGTGTGTGTGTGTGTGTGTGTGTGTATGTATGTGTGTATGCATGCACACACATGAGCATAATTATCTGCAGGAACAATTTCACCTGGTTGGATAGCAGTTCACAACGTGCCTTTCACCTCCATTTAGTAGAAGCCTCGTGGGAATCCCTTTAAAATCAGCCACGACTCTAAAAACTTCTGCAATCAGTGAGTTTCACAGGTTCCCTCGGCATCGACACGCAGGCTGTCACTAACTACTGTAGTGCTCATGAAGGAAAACCTACAAGTTGCTTCCCGGAGAGTTGGTTAAATTATATCATACTCAGAACCAACAATAATCATTAAGGAAATAAAACTAAAGGGTGTTATTTGCCCCATATAATGCAATGGGGTGGGAGAGAGAGGTGGCTGCAGAATTACATTATATAAGAAGTACTTTGTATAATCAAGCATTTCCTTAACTAGCATCTCCCAATGACTAAGCTATCTTTTAATCCTTATAGTAATTGAGGCAATTATTATTATTACTACTGTGCTATAGGTTATAAGATATGTCAGAATGATTCTGGTGTGCAGAAGTTTACCAAGGCAAACAGCTTAAAGGGGTGTGAATCAACTTATTTGTTTTAAATTATTTCACTAGTTTTGGTGTTTGAGTGTTTTTTTTTTTCCCCTCCATGTGTGCCTAAGCCCCACTTGCATTTCTGTGGCAAAAGAGAGCAGCAGATCCTTCAGAACTAAAGGTATCGATGGTTCTGAACTACCTTATGGGGGAATTGAACTCTGGTCCCTTGGAAGATCAGCAAATGCTCTTAACAGCTGAGCCATCTCCCTGGCTCTAAAGGTCAGAATCCAAACGCAACTGGAGTCACTGTCTTCTTCATGCAGTGCTGAAAATCAAACACGAAGCTTTGCCCATGCATGGGCAAATGCTTTACCACAGAGAGGTACCCACAGCTCTCAAAATCTGTCTTTAACTGGTGTGCAGCCCGTGAAACTGGAATTACCATGATAGAACACAACCAAAGGTGGGGAAAGCTGTGACTTACTCATTAGACTGCAGGACAGGTGTTGATTGTGTTTACATCCCTTCTGCTAAGTTAATCTTGTTGGCGAGCCTTCATCCCTTCATCATCTTTATGTATTCGACCTACACTACCTCCATCCAGATCTTCATCCCGCTGGCTCTTCTGCATCAGCTCCCTGCTGTAGGCGCCTTGTCAGCAGCGGTGGTTTTTGAACCCTATGGAGAGCGGCTGCTTCCCTGCACCCCTGGAAACCTCTATCTTAATTCTTATTTGACCTCATGCCTTCCTGAAAGTATCACGTGTTCTTTGTATATACTGACTATCTGTGTTTCTCCCTTAGAGCCGCGCTTCCGCAGCGTGGGGCTTGTTTTCCATTTTCTTCACTGTTTTTTACCCAATGTATGGAACAGTGCCTGGCACACACTTGCTCTACAGGGAATATTTACTGAATTCTGAATGAAGAAAAATATCAACATGCAACTAACTTTTCTGCTTTGGAAGGAAGTCTTGAGATTCTTAAAATTTTGTTTTACATAAATTAAGATTTCTAAAATGTTTAAGAGCTAAGCAGTCATTTGTGATTTGGGAAATGATTACAATAATTTAATGGGTTCATTGAAACTGAGTATGAATTTCATGAAATCATTCTTTTTTTAATTGATCTTTATTGAGCTCTACATTTTTCTCTGCTGCCCTCCCTGACTCTTCCCTCTCCTTCAACCCTCTACCAAGGCCCTCATGCTCCCAATTTATTCAGAAAATCTTGTCTTTTTTTCTACTTTCCATGTAGATTAGATCTATCTATGTCTCTCTTAGAGTCCTCATTGTTGTCTAGGTTCTCTAGGATTGTGATTTGTAGGCTGGTTTTCTTTGTTTTATCTTTAAAAACCACTTATGATTTTAGCCATTCTGACAGGTGTAAGATGATATCTCAAAGTTGTTTTGATTTGCATTTCCCTGATCGCTAAGGAGGTTGAGCATGACCTTAAGTATCTTTTGGCCATTTGAACTTCTTCTGTTAAGAATTCTCTGTTCAGTTCAGTGCCCCATTTTTTAATTGGGTTAATTAGCATTTTAAAGTCTAGTTTCTTGAGCTCTTTATATATTTTGGAGATCAGACCTTTGTCTGTTGCAGGGTTGGTGAAGATCTTCTCCCAGTCAGTAGGTTGCCTTTTTGTCTTAGTGACAGTGTCCTTTGCTTTACAGAAGCTTCTCAGTTTCATTAGGTCCCATTTATTCAATGTTGCCCTTAATGTCTGTGCTGCTGGGGTTATACGTAGGAAGCGATCTCCTGTGCCCATCTGTTGTAGGGTACTTCCCACTTTCTCTTCTATCAGGTTCAGTGTGTTCGGACTGATATTGAGGTCTTTGATCCATTTGGACTTGAGTTTTGTGCATGGTGATAGATATGGGTCTATTTTCATTCTTCTACAGGTTGACATCCAGTTGTGCCAGCACCATTTGTTGAAGATGCTTTCTTTCTTCCATTGTATACTTTTAGCTCCTTTATCGAAAATGAGGTGTTCATAGGTTTGTGGGCTAAAAACCAGGTCTTCTATAGGATTCCATTGGTCAGCTTCTCTGTTTTTATGCCAATACCACACTGTTTTCATTACTGTAGCTCTGTAATAGAGTTTGAAGTCAGGGATTGTAATGCCTCCAGAAGTTCCTTTATTGTATAAGATTGTTTTGGCTATCCCGTTTTTTTTTTTGTTTTTGTTTTTGTTTTTCCATATAAAGTTGATAATTGTCCTCTCAAGATCTGTGAAGAATTTTGATGGGACCTTGATGGGGATTGCATTGAATCTATAAATAGCCTTTGCTGGAGAGGTTGTGGAGAAAGGGGTACCCTCATCCATTGCTGGTGGGAATGCAAACTTGTGCAACTACTTTGGAAATCAGTGTGGCGTTTTCTCAAAAAATTTGGGGTCAACCTATCCCTGGACCCAGCAATACTACTCTTGGGAATATACCCAAGAGATGCCCTATCATATGACAAAAGCATTTGTTCAACTATGTTCATAGAAACATTATTTGTAATAGCCAGAACCTGGAAACAACCTAGATGTCCTTCAATGGAAGAATGGATGAAGAAAGTGTGGAATATATACACATTAGAGTACTACTCTGCCATAAAAAACAATGACTTCTTGAATTTTGCATGCAAATGGATGGAAATAGAAAACACTATCATATAGTTATTATCCCTGCTATGGGAAATAGACAAGATTGCTGGGCGAAAAATTGGGATCTTGGGGGTGGGGTGGGATGGGGGTAAGGGGAGATGGGGAGAGAAAAGTGAGAAGGGGAGGATAGGGGGAACTTGGGGAAACGGGATGATTGGGGATAAAACAAGGTTGGATAGAGGAGCAGGGAATCACATAACTTAATTAAGGGAACCACCTTAGGGTTGGTAAGAGACATGAACCTAGAGTGGCTCCCAGGTGCTTAGGGCAATG